CCCCCCGCTCAGGCTTTGGCTGTGCACCAGGTAACGAATGTCAGCTCTGTCCCAGAGCTCCTTGGTTCTCAGTCCCTGCAGCACACACACCAGGTCGGTCGGTGGTCAGCGTGGGCTTGCTGCTCTCTTCGCCGCTTTTAAATCACTTTCCCTTTCAATTCGGCGGAGTCCCTCTCCTGCGTGATTGAGCTGCGCTTCTGCCCAGAGACGAGGGATGCGCAAGATGACTTCTCCAGGGTCATCCTGCCGGCGAGGGCGGACCCCGCAGTGGGCAGCGCAGACACCCCACACCCGCACCCAGGCCCCATGCTCGAGTCCTCTATGTTTTTTGGTTATTTTTTGTTTGATACCAACTTCTCAACCACGTGCCCACGAGAAGCCTGTGGCTCGGAATGGGTCCGGGGGTGCCTCGGGCGCGCCCCAGGAAGGAGCGGGGAGGGGACCCCGGCGATCCCGGAGGAGGCGGGGGCACCACCATTCGGGCCCGCAGAGAACAGCGCCGGACGGAGCGCTCTGCTGGGCGCGACCAGCCCGGACCCGGGCGGGCGGCCACCCCGCCGCGGCCCACCCCCGCGGCCCCCGCCCCGCACCCCGGGCTCCTGCTGCTCCCAGGCCAGCGCCGAGCCCCCCGTCCCCCGCCGGCAACCTCGCGAGCACGCGGGGGGCGGCGGGGGAGACGGTTGGCAGGGTCGCCGCCTGCGTACCTGTCCGGTCAGGGGCTCCGCGCCCGGCTCCGGCCCCACCGGCGAGCGACGCCCAAGACCGAGCCGGTCCCGCCCCGCCCCGCCCCGCCCGTGTGGGCTGCCCGACGCGCCGTCCGACCACTCTAGGTCCACCCCAGACCCCCTCCCCCTGAGGCCCAGAGGCGCTCTGCGTCCAGGGGACACACTACTTTTCCCCAAACATCGGTCCAGGCTAAAAGTGGGGCGCCGAGCGCGGCCGAGGGAGCGTCGGTCAGGCACAGAGCTGGACACCTGGAGGAAAGCGGCGCGTGCGCACTGGGCCTGGGAAGCCGCTTAGGACCACAGGCTCCGGCGCGGCGCGGCCAGCGCCCCCTGCCGGATGGTGGCGGCAGCGCGGAGGGGCTGGAGGAATTTTTGCCCTGGGCGAAGGGTTCCCCCGAGAATGGCTAAGTTTTTGCGTGCTAGACTGCTAATTAAAACAATAGTAATAAACCTATCTCGTCAGTTAGCTGGAGGAAAAACTTAATTTTGGCTGCTACTCAGTGTCGTCCACCGTATGGGGATACAGGCATTCTCACGCCTTTATGATGCGGATATAAAATAACGCAAATTTACGTAATGGCATTTTGGCATTTCTTTATTTAAAAAGAGAAAACATTTAAAAGTACAAACCCTGCCCAGCCAGCGTGGCACCGTGGTTGAGCATCGACCTATGAACTGTGAGGTCACCGTCGGATTCCGGTCAGGGCACCTGCCCAAGTTGCAGGCTCGATCCCCAGTGGGGAGCACGCAGGTGCAGCGGGCAGCAGATCGATGTTTCTATCTCTCTCCCTTCCTCTCTCTAAAACTCATAAAAATATGTGTGTGTTTTTAAAAGTACCTCTCCGAGGGCAACTGTAAGGATAAAAGCCTATCTCATCCTTGGTTCTTGGTATAGTGGGAGAAAAATTATTTCTGGTAACTCAAAATAATATACTACTTGTACACATACAAATTTGGGGTCAAAATGTATACCACATGAGTGCACCCCAAATCCAAAGACACAGTGGTCCCAAGTCGGTAGAGTATCCTGGGAACCTGGCCAAACTCAATATAAACCCTCTCTAGGGAATGCACTTTAACTCCAGGCCTTAAATAATTCCTATAGCTATAGTTCCAAGAACCATGAGTGGTCAAAGTGACTAAGCACACTATGAGAAAGAAGCTACCAAAATTATTCAAAACTGCAAAGATTACAGATACTGGGATTTTCAATTACTGTGTGTAAAATGAATAGGTTTAATATTTTTAAAAACAAATTTTAATATAACAAAGGAACAAGCAATTATAAAAATTGACTAGGTAGATTGGCAAAATAACCAATTATAAAAAATAGTATGCCCTAGCTGGTTTGGCTCAGTGAATAGAGCGTCGGCCTGCGGACTGAAGGGTCCCAGGTTCGATTCCAGTCAAGGGCGTGTACCTTGGTTGCAGGCACATCCCCAGTAGATGATGTGCAGGAGGCAGCTGATTGATGTTTCTCTCTCATCGATGTTTCTAGCTCTCTATCCCTCTCCCTTCCTCTCTGTAAAAAATCAATAAGATATATTTTTTTAAAAATAGTAATAAAAATATAGGAATTAAAATATAGAGCTCTTAGATGGCACAAACAAAAGATTAGTCATAGCAATTAACCTAAAATAAATAGCCTTTCAAAATGAGAGGCAACAAGCATTATTTGAGATATATTTTTTAAAAAGCTATTGGGAAGCACTGATTCAGCAGAAGCCCAATAGTGTTCCAATTAAGAGACAAAGGCAAGGAGTATTAATGAGACAGGGAAGGGGAACAATAAATCAATAGAAGGAAGGTATTTCTACTGGTTGACATATGCTCACATAGTGATATTAATTCTAAACAATGTTTTTAATTTTCAGTTTGGTAGACATCAGTCCAAGAGTCATAACATCTGCTTTCTTTGCGCACAGTTCTTTGGAAGGCAATGTTGCTTTAAGCCCAGGCCAAAGGTTATTTTGCAAAGCTTGGAGCATAAAATGTACAAGGCAGTTTCTCTGGGATTGCAGCTCCATTTTAAAGTGGCTCTGTGGGCAGCTCATCAACCTCATAAGCTAGCTCTGTTTCTATTAATTTTTTGCATAGCTGAAGAAAGAATTAATGAATTGGAAAACAGATCTTAAGAAATGAAAGAGAAAAAAGGACAAAAATGCAGCATTAACAAGAAGAAGAAAAATGTGGAAGAGACATGAAAGATATAGTGAGAAGGTCCAACCTTCATCTAATTGCAAATCCATAAATAAAGAAGATAATAAAAGAGAGACTGAATTTAAAGAGAAATACAGATTCATATGTAGCCTCAGATTCAGGAAATCCAAGGGATTCCTACCTGAATAAACAAAGAAGTGCACGTCTGGATTAATAAAAGTGAAGCTGTAGAAAAATAATAACAAAGATAAAATCTTAAAAGGAGCAAGAGAGAAAAGGCAGTTCCCTGCAAAGTAACTGTTATATTAGCATCTGACTTCTCAATAGCAACAGTAAAAGCCAGAGAACAAAGAAATACTCAGCAATATGAGAAAATAACTGTCAACCTATAACTCCTTAGCCAGCAAAATGATCCCTCAAAAATGAAGGTAAAGTGCCGAAACCGGTTTGGCTCGCTGGATAGAGCGTCAGCCTGCGGACTGAAGGGTCCCGGGTTCGATTCCGATCAAGGGCATGTACCTGGGTTGTGGGCACATCCCCAGTGGGGGATGTGCAGGAGGCAGCTGATCGGTGTTTCTCTCTCATCGATGTTTCTAACTCTCTATCTCTCCCCTTCCTCTCTGTAAAAAATCAATAAAATATATTAAAAAAAAAATGAAGGTAAAGTAATAAATAAATAAATCTGAGGAAGTTTACTATAATTAAGTTCTGTATTCATTTTTTATTGCGGCATAACAAATTACTACAAACTCAGTGGCTTAAAAGAACACGTGTAGCCTGCCCGGTATGGAGTGGCTGAGTATCCATCTATGAACCAGGAGGTCACAGTTGGATTCCTAGTCAAGGAATATGCCTGGGTTTCAGGCTCAGTCTCCAGTGTGGGGCATGCAGGAGGCAGCTGACCAATGATTCTCTCTCATCATTGATGTTTCTATTTTTCTCTTCCTCTCCATTCCTCTCTGAAATTATATTCCCATATATATATATAAAATATATATATACCACATATATATACCACAAATATATATATATACATATATATATATGTACACACACACACACACACACACACACTCTAGAGGCCCAGTGCACAAAATTCGTGCATGGGGGGGGGCGGGGTCCCTCAGCCCAGCCTACACCCTCTCCAATCCAGGACCCCACAGGGATCAGGTCTAAACTGGCAGTCAGACATCCCTCTTATAATCCAGGACCACTGGCTCCTAACCGCTCACCTGCCTGCCTGCCTGATCGCCCCTAACCCACTCTGCCTGCCTTCCTGATCACCCCCTAACTGCTCCCCTGCCAGCCTGATCGCCCCTAACTGCCCTCCCCTGACAGCCTGATTGCCCCCTAACCACCTCTGCCTGTGGGCCCGATTGCTCCTAACTGCCCCCCCTGCTGGCCTGATCGCCCCCTAACTGCCCTCCCCTGCCAGCCTGATCACACCCTAACCACCTCTGCCTCAGCCCCTGCCACTGTGGCTTTGTCCATAAGGACGTCTGGAAGATGTCTGGTTAATTAGCATATTACCCTTTTATTAGTATAGATACACACACATGTATTGTCCCTCAGTTTCTGGGTCAGAAGTCTGGGCACAGGTTAGCTGGCTCCTCTGGGACCTTAGAGTCTCACCAAGCTGAAATCAAGGTGTCATCAAAGGCTGCAATCTCATCTGGGTTTTAGGTCCACTTCAAAGCTCAGTGATTATTGGCAGAATTTAGTTCCTGGGAACTGGAGAACTGAAGTCTTAACTCCTAGAGGCTATGTGGCCACCTCCAAAATGTGACAGTTTGCTTCTTTCATTGTAAACAAGAGGATCTCTGACTTCTGAGAAGGTCTGACACTTTTAAAAGGCTCACCTGCCGAACAGGTTTGGCTCAGTGGACTGAGAGTTTCCGGGTTCGATTCTGGTCGAGGGCATGTACCTTGGTTGCAGGCACATCCCCAGTAGGGGGAGTGCAGGAGGCAGCTGATTGATCTCTCTCATCGATGTTTCTAACTCTCTATCCCTCTCCCTTTTTCTCTGTAAAAAATCAAAATATATTTTAAAAATAAATAAAAGGCTCACCTGATTAGGTCAGGCCCACCCAAAATAATCTCCCCTTTAACACAAAGCCAACTGATTACAAACTTTAATTACTTCAGCAAAATCCCACTTTTCAGGTATATAACATAATCAGACATGAAATTTCATCATATTCACTAGTTCTGCTCACACTTAAGGGGAGAAGATTACAGAGAATGTATACACAGAGGGTATGAATCTTGGGGGCATCTTAGAATTCTGTCTACCACAAATCCTCACTAAAGGAACTTCTAAAGAATGTACTTTGGATAGAAGGAAAATAACCCCAGATGGAAGATCTGAGACACAAGAAAGAAGAATGACCAAAGAAAATAGTAAACATACAGGTAAAGCTACACAAATCTCCACTCTATAAATAATAGCAATATATCTGATTTGTGAGTTTAACAAAATAACAATATAATTAAAGTACAAAAGCATACAGATTCAAAGGAAATAATGTTGAAGAACTCTAGATGTGGGTCTCAGAGGATCAGTCCACCTTGTCCAGGTTTGTTAGCTTGACTGAGGCATTCCAGAGGCTTTCGGCCACCTGAGGATCCTGAGCAGCTTTTGCGGGAGGAATTATCACACAGGACCTGCTAAAATATTTTCCAGAAATACCATCCAGCTCCTTCGCCAAGCTCAGGTAGAGAACTGGGTTTGCACCTTGTGTAGGATCCTGTGGAAACACCGAGAGTGGGGGTTGAGGGGAAGGACGGGCGGTCTCACCAGGCAGGCTTTGGCGGGCTGGGGACACTGAGAAGTAGAGCCCTACACCACCCTCTTCCAGCCAAACCAGCTCCTCCTCTCCCCACCTTAATAAAGAAGCTGGAGATCCAGAAGGAGAAGCGGTAGTACAAAGGTAACAGCCTCATGATCTCCGTGTACACCAGACCTGGCTCCACAGAGTTCACAGTCACACCTGAGGTGGTGAGACAGAAGCATAATGCAAAGTGAGGTGAAAGGATGATGGGAAGAGAGGATTGAGTGTGGTTCTGCCATGTGCAAGCAGGGAAGGATCCTACCAGGTCAGCTGGGTAAAGGCGACCAGAGACTTGGGGGTGGTACGAGGGACATGAGTGCTCTGTAACTTACATGAATGGTGCTACCCAAGCCAGTAAGGAGACACAAGTATTTGAAAGTGTTGGGTTAACTTTAGGAGGAACGTGATGTGTGGTGTTGGTATTGGAAAATACTGAGAGAGGAGGGGTGTTACCGGTGATAAGAGAATTGGAAAAGGTTGAAAAAGAGACATGAGGACAGGGTTGAGAGAACTATAGGGGTACAGGTGGTAAATGGAAGACATTAACAGCTGGCTTGGGATATATTGGGAGTAATTTATGGCCAGGACATGTGGAGAGGTGTGAAGGATTGGGAGTGGAGGAATAGGGGGTGTCAGAGGCGGTTACCTGTCCCTTGAAGCCTCCGGGCAAATTCCCCAGTGATCGAGGTCAAAAGCAGTTTGCTGCAGTAATAGTTCTGGTTGAAGGTCAAAGGTCCACCAGCCCCTGTCAGATGTTCCTCATCAAAGTACCCTTGTGTTTGCCAAGAGGAAGACACGTTTATCACCCGGGCTGACCCTGCCCGTTGTAGCGCTCCTGGGAGGAGAGAGGACCACGTTCCTTCAGTCTGAGTCCTAGTGTCAACTCCCATGCCCACTCCCCAGCCTGCTTCTCCAGGGGGTCCCAGGAGAGCAGGGCCCATCCAGGGCTTTCAGGAGTGGGCCCCGCCCAGGCACCAGGGCTAGGCACAGGGAAACTTAATGGGAACAGAGACTTCACGTTCATTAACTGCTTTCCTAACACTCTCTTCCTCTTTTATTTTATTTTTTTAATATATTTTATTGATTTTTTACAGAGAGGAAGGGAGAGGGATAGAGTTAGAAACATCGATGAGAGAGAAACATCGATCAGCTGCCTCCTGCAAACTCCCCACTGGGGATGTGCCCGAAACCAAGGTACATGCCCTTGACCAGAATCGAACCTGGGACCCTTGAGACTGCAGGCTAATGCTCTATCCACTGAGCCAAACCGGTTAGGGCTTCCTCTTTTATTTTAGTGTTTAGTACTTTTCTTCCACTTGCCAGCTGGAACTAATTTAATTGATCCTTGTTTATGTTTGACCACTAAGAGGGGAGAAAGAAGAGGGTGACCCTAGCCTAGCTGGTTTGGCTCCATGGTTAGATCATCAACCTGCGGACAGAAGGGTTGCAAGTTTGATTCCAGGTCAAGGGCACGTGCCACAGTTGTGGGTTCCCCAGCCCTGGTAGGGGTGCATTCGGGAGACAACCAATCGATGTGTCTCTCTCACATCAATCTTTCTCTCTCTCTCTTTCCTCCCTCCTCCCACTCTCTCTAGAAATCAATGAAAAAAAAAATCCTCAAATGAGGATTAAAAAAAGAAAGGAGAGGCTAGGACACACTGTCAGAGTTGTCTTTCATGTATTCATACACTCATTCATTCCACAAATGTTAATTAGGCCCCTGGATTGTGACAGACACCAAGATGGGTGCTAAGGACATAAGGACACTAGGTTTGGGGGAAAAGAAATATGCAGAGATACTTGGGAAAGTAGTTTTTTAAAAAATAACCATCTCTCAAAGGAACAAAAATAAAATTATAATCAATAAAACAAATTTAAAAAGAAATTAAGAAGAAAAAAGAAATAAAACAAGTTAAATCTTTAAAAAACGAGTATTAACTACACAAAAAAAAGTCTGGATTGTGTAAATTATGAAAAATAGTAATTGTCACATGAGTTTACAGTATTGTTTTCAAAATGCTCAAACTCTTTTGAGCCCTACATTGAAATGAAGAATCACAAGTGGCAATTTGAACAGATGCTGTTGAGCCAAAACTTGCTAGAGAGAAAATTATTCTTAAAGAGGACAACAGGCCCCAAACTTGCAGACACAGTGACATAAAAACCAAAAGGGCTCACAGCCTAGGTGGAGACTGATCCCCATGGAGCAATGTTAGTTTGAGAACAGAGAGGTGCACAAAGGGCTTAGGGGACCCCTGATAATTGGGGCAGCTGGAGAGTTGGAGGTGTCAGGGCAGGATCACAGCACAGGCTATATCTGTGCTGAGTCTTGGCAGATGAACTAAAGTTAGCCAGCCTAGGGCAGTGGGAAAAGATTTTCCAAATAGAAGACATCACATGTGCAAACACAGCCAGAGGGGGAAAATAGAGTGTGGTCCAAGATCTACAGATGGTCTGGCTGGATATTGGGAGTTGGGGGGTGGGGAGGGTTAAGGAAGGGCAAAAAGTAAGTTTCTCAGTCTTGTAAGTAAAAAGAAGAGGCTCAGCCGAAACCGGTTTGGCTCAGTGGATGGAGCGTCGGCTTGCGGACTGAAAGGTCCCAGGTTCGATTCCAGTCAGGGGCATGTACCTGGGTTGCGGGCACATCCTCAGTGGGGAGTGTGCAGGAGGCAGCTGATCGATGTTTCTCTCTCATCGATGTTTCTAACTCTCTATCTCTCTCCCTTCCTCTCTGTAAAAAATCAATAAAAATATATTTAAAAAAAAGAAGAAGAAGAGGCTTAGACTTTATCCTATAAAGAACAGAGTACCTTCAAAAGATTTTAAGCAAGAAAGTGATATGGCTAAGGTGACTTCTAGAAGTGGCAGAAGGGAGAATAGACTATAAAAGGGAAGAGACAAACAATTTAAGAAACCATTCCTTAGGAACACAATTGAGGTTGCCACCTGAATCTCTATATTCCAGGCTGCAGCAACTTTTGCTCAAATAAATGCTTTTTTTTTTTAATATATTTTATTGATTCTTTACAGAGAGGAAGGGAGAGAGATAGAGAGTCAGAAACATCGATGAGAGAGAAACATCGATCAGCTGCCTCCAGCACATCGCCTACTGGGGATGTGCCCGCAACCCAGGTACATGCCCTTGACCGGAATCAAACCTGGGACCTTTCAGTCCGCAGGCCGACACTCTATCCACTGAGCCAAACCGGTTTCGGCAATAAATGCTTTTTAATAAAAAAAAAAAAAAAAAAAAAAAAAAAAAAAAAGCAACCCCTAGCCGGTTTGGCTCAATGGATAGAGCGTCGGCCTGGGGATGGAAGAGTCCCGGGTTCGATTCCCGTCAAGGGCATGTACCTTGGTTGCAGGCACATTCCCCCAGTAGGGGTGTGCAGGAGGCAGCTGATTGATGATTCTCTCTCATCGATGTTTCTAACTATCCTTCTCCCTTCCTCTCTGTAAAAAATCAATAAAATATATTTTTTTAAACGAAAGAAAGAAAAAACACTAATACTGAGGAAGGTGCAAACACCTTGTTGTAATTTGGGGGAAGAGAGAAAAAATATTCATACTCAAAAGTGCATAGAATTTGGCTCACTCTTTGTTCAATTTCCAGTTGGGTTAATGCAATCAGTCACTAAAGGGTAGGTCCTGACAACAGTAGTTGCCTCCAAGGAGGGGAATGGAAAGTTGATTTTCAAGGAGAGGAGATTTTTTTTAATTTATTTTTTTCCTCTCACTTATTGATTTTAGAGAGAGAAAGGGGGGAGAGAGAAAAACATCGATTTGTTCTATTTATTTATGCATTCATTGACTGCTTCTTTTTTAAAATATGTTTTTATTGATTTTTAGAGAGAGTGGAATGGAGAGGGAGATAGAGATAGTGATATATATATATATATATATATATATATATATAGAGAGAGAGAGAGAGAGAGAGAGAGAGAGAGAGAGAGAGAGAGATTCACATCAATCAGCTGCCTCCTGCTCTGCAGCCCCCTACTGGGGATTGAGCCACAACCCAGGCATATGCCCTGACTTGGGAATCAAACCAGTGGCCTTTTGGTGCAGGGGCAATGCTCAACCAACTGAGCCACACCAGCCAGGGCTCAGAAGTTGCTTCTTGCATGTGTCCTGATGGGAGATTGAACCCACAACCTTGACCTATCACAACGACACTCTAACCAATTGAGCTATCCGGTCAGAGCCAAAGAGACTTTTTTTTCTGTATACCCTGTTACACATCTTCAATTTTGTATTTTAGACCTATATTACCTGACTACAAAAGAGGTTATTTCACAACACAGGAAAATATGTTATGGAGAATTTGCCTGCCACCCATTTCCCCACACACACCTTCCCAGGAAGACCTCGAACCTCCTTAATCAGAAAGGGTTACAAAATCAGAAAGTCAATAGACTTGGGCCCAAGGCAATGAATTTTTGGCTGTTGTCCCTGCTGGCCCCTGAGCTTCTTGGTGTTTATGTTCCTAGTGACCTAGTGCCAACCTCAGGAAGCTTCGGCTGAGATGATTGACTCTACTGGTCTGACTGGAATTCAGAGCTGAGGGAGGGAGAAGTGGGATCTTTTATCCTCTTGGTTGCATGTTTGTGGGGAGCTGCTATAGGGTTAAACCTCGGGCTGACCTGTTGGCAAAGTCACAAACAAGTCCCAGCTTAGAGGGCACAGTCCTCTTAGCATAATTAGGCTTGACCTTATAAGGCTCCCTAGATCTTACCTGGAAAGCTAATGGGCTGAGGGAAGTGCAGCAAGAACAAGAACAAAAACAAGTGAAGCTCACAAGAACAGTGTAAAGGAGTGAAACTCACAAGAACAGTGTAACTTTGGTAACCACTACCTGTTTACCTCTGACTATAAAAATAAAGGCTCAGTTTGCCTCAGGATCCTTCTCTGTGGCCTCAGCCAGGCACAGGAAGGTCCACGGAGACTAAAGAGAGCTAGAGTTCTGAACGCTGTCTCCGTGTAAAACATTCTTCGCCGACTCCGTCCACACCTTTGGGAACCCCTGGACCCCCGGGGCTGGACCCCGGCACATGTTGGACTGTCTGGTTCCATTACCAGAATCCTAATCCTGACTTGCGTTGGGTGGTTCCCCTGCTATGTGCCAAAGGAAAGGAAGCTGCCAGGAAGATGCTATTGGGACGGAGAAGCCGGGCTGACACAGAGGGCAGGCACATTTCCTTACCTTGCAGTAGATTTGTGAGCAGAAAGGGCCCGATATAATTGGTGGCAAAGGTGAGATCAAGGCCCTCTGGGGTTAGTGTCCTGGGGATTCCTGGGAGGAAATGAAAACACATGAAGCGGATGATGGAGCAAATATACCGAGGGGGACAGAGTCTAGGGCGATATATTGGGGTTCAATAGAAATGCTCTAGGAGCATGTATGTGCAAAGATGGGGCAATTAAATGTGAGGCTATAACTGAGGCGGGCTCTCTAGGGCTGTGGGAGAGTCAGGAGTGTTTCCGCAGGGCGCACAAGTGAGGCTTTGGGGATGCCTGTTTTGTGGTCCCTGATCTAGGAAGGAGCCTCCTGAGATGTGTTTGGGGGAAGCACATCAGGGCACATACCACAGACTGCAGCGTTGTTAACCAGCAGATGTATCTCGGGACACTCTTGCAGGAGCCACCGGGCAAAGCTCCGGATGGAGGCCATGGAGCTCAGGTCCACCTCCCCAAGCAGAAGGCTGGCATCCTTCGTGGCTGCTTGGATCTCAGCCAGGGCTCGCTGTCCACGCTCTCGGCTACGGCAAGCAAGGACCACCCGAGCCCCACGGCGGGCCAGCTCCTGGGTCACAACCTTTCCGATACCTGGATGGGGGCGTGGGGGGCAGCTTCAGAGCAGGCTAGTCTGGGAAGTGACTAGAGGGTAAAGGAGCAAGGGGGAGGGACAGAGGTGTTGACAGTGGGTGCTGCTTCTCCCCGCTGCCCTCCCGGGGAAGGCTGTTGGGGCTGAGGCCCCTCGTGAGGTGACAGGGTGGAAGGAGCACTCACCGCTGTTGGCCCCAGTCACCACGGCCGTCTTCCCGGTGAGATCTGTGGGGCAGTGCTGCAGGTCCCAGAGCCGAGTCTGATGCCAGAGCCGCACACTCAGTCTGAGCAGGAAGACCAGAATGAGGAGGACAGAGCCAGGACCCCAGGCCTGGGTGCTGAGTAGAGACCACAGTGGCATAGCAGATGACCAGCCTACCACCCGGAGTGGGAAGAGGGTTGGAGAGAGCTAGTCAGTGCTGAGTGGGCGGCAGTAAGGCCGTGGTGGAGCCCAAGATGCAAAATTTAAGGAGGCGCTCTCACATTTGCTCAAGCAACCCATGTGAACCTGAGAGAGAGTTCCTCCTTATAAATTGTGTGACCGGAGCACTTGATTGCCTCACCTCCAATCAAAAATTAACAGAAGGGCTTTCCCTGAGCCCTAAACCCTGCCAAGGCTCAAATCTGCCACTGAGCCAAACTTGGATTTGCATCTAAAGTGAATTGACAGAGTTCCAGGGACGAGGGAAGCAAGAAATCAAATTCCTCATGTCTTGAATCACTTTATGCCCAAGTGGGGCCATTCCCTTGCTCCCCAACTGATAGGGAACTAAGTTCTCCCAACTGAGGTAGGCCCCACTTGCAGCCCTTACATCCATCTGCTCTTTCGTGAGGAGAGAATGGTTCTCCAGAATTCTGCTGGAGAGTAGCCTTGGCCCTGAAGCAGGGTCTCCTATAGGTGCAAATGGGTTTATTTCCTGGACCCAGTGTTCTATCTTCTTCTGGGCCTGCCAGGACCACTGCTCCTCTCCAGCTCCGCGAGAACACACATCTTTGGAAGAAACTGACAGAGATACCAGGCCAATTCTTAAGGCAACTCAGGTGTTTATTTTGGCAAGCTGACGGAAGGAAGATAGGATTCCCGCTGGCTGAGGTTCAGGGCTCAGAATGGGGCAGGATCTTGGAGGGGAGAGACCACACTTTGGAGGTTGAGTTCTTCATTAGCTGTGCCCTGGTCACCTGGGCTTCTGTCTGGATGGGGTGCAACTCAATGGGAGGAGAGGTACAGCCTTTTTTGGCCTCCTGCCGGGGTGGCCCAGACCTGAGCAGCACCTGTGTGGTTGGGTTCCACATGCTCACACCAGGAGCCAGCTTCAAGGCTTCCGGCAGCAACACTGGCTGCCACATCACCTGGGACGTGGGCTTGAGGATTTGGGGTTCAAGGCAAGACCACCTGTGAGGATCCTGGCCCTCCTGGTCCCGGCGGCCCTGCCGAGGTACGTGGCTGCGGCCGGCCCACAGCTCTTCCAGCAACTCCGCCTCCCTCTCCCAGCCCCTCGGCCACTTCGCACCTGGCCACGTGCAGGGGCTGGGGCTGCGGCTGTAGGCCATTTGAGAGACATTCAGGTGCTTTTCAGGAAAGCGGCCCTCTGGGCCCGGTAAGAGCCCCTTTGACTGGGAGCATGGTGATGATGGGCCTAAGCTTAAAGGGGGAAGTTGGGAGCCGGGGTGCAAAGTAGGGAAAGGACCGCTGGGAGGGAGAGGGCAGAAAGCTCGGCAACTGGAGCCATTAGCTTGGCGTCTGGCCAGGGCCTCTGTCTTCTCGACCTGGGGGCGCCTGCGGTAGACTTCCAGGGGGTGTACCTCAGTGTCTGTATCCACAACCTCAACTTCTGGGCGTACCCACTGGCTCGGCAGCACCGAGGCCTTGTGGCCCGCCCTACGAGGAAGTGTTCTCAGCTGTGAGCCCATCCACCAAGGCTGCTGGAAGGAGTGGCCGAGTATGATGGGGTCCAAGGCAGCGTGGGGCTTCTCGCCCTTCTTGAACACCTGCTCACTTAGGTCCTCAGTGGAGGGCGAGAAATAGAGGTCCTCTAGTGAGAGCTGGGAGCTGAGGGGCCGTGTGCTCTCTGCCGATTCCTGGGAGCTGGCTGCCAGGGACTGCTCCAGAGAAGAATGGGGGCTCCCAGGGGGAACTGTCTCCACCACTGTCTCCACAGATGCTGACGGCTGTTGGAGGCTCATGTTCCTGGACCCTGCCGAAGACGGGCGGCCTCCTTCCTGGTCTTCCAGTTCCTCTAAAGGATCCCTGGGGCCTGCCTCCTGAAACAGCTCTGGGATGGGTGGAGGGCTGAGCGTGTCTCTTGGCTTGGAGGATTCCATCTGCTCCTCACAGCCTCCATCCATCAACGGTCTTCCTAGAGAAATCTGGTCGACGCTCCCTTGGTCCTGGGGAAATGCACCAGAGGTAGGGGTGGGAGGTAGATAGTGAGAGGTCAGAAAGGGGAGAGAGGAACTAAGGGTGGAGAAACTAAGGGTAGAGAGGCCGTAAGGAAAACGAAGGTGCATTGGGGGTAGGGGTGGGGGTCAGAGGGAGCTGGGGGCTTACTTCACATCGGAAGAAGTCCTCCAGCTCCACCGAGGCTGGTGCGTGCATTAGGGGCACAGATCCCTGAGCCCAGGCATCTGTTGTGCTTGCCAAGGGCTCCTCATCCTCTCCCCAGGTGGGGTCCTCAGCCACTGCAGACTCTCCCTCATCTCGAGCCAGGAAACGCCACTCGATGATCTGCAGCATGGCCTCCCGGGCCTGGCTGATGGTGAATGGGACGCACTGCAGAAGCGAGAGAGGGTCTCAGCCAGGCAGGAAGGGGTGGGAGAGGGGGTAGATGGGTTTGGGGGGCCCCATCCAGGCTCACCTGCTGGGTCAAGTAGACTTTGAAGGCAGAGTCCATGACACGCCCCAGCAAATCTGCCAAGATGTCCCCCACCACGTCCTCGCCCTCCTCCACCATTGTGAGCGCCATCCACTCAGCCTCAGTGAGCCGCCCAGGAACGATGTCCACCTGGGGCACTGGCACAGTAGGCGGCCGTGCCTTTTCCGCCTTGGATCTGGTCGCCCCGCGATCTCGGACCTGCCTCTGTGGGAAGGGAACAGGGCAATCAGGGCAGAAAACCAAGGAGTGGGAGAGAGAAGCAGCTACAGGCTCTGGGAAGCTTTCTCAATTGGTCTAGTACCGTGGTCGGCAAACTGCGGCTCGCGAGCCACATGCGGCTCTTCGACCCCTTGAGTGTGGCTCTTCCTAAGCCTTAGGAGTACCCTAATTAAGTTAATAACAATGTACCTACCTATATAGTGTTAAGTTTAAAAAATTTGGCTCTCAAAAGAAATTTCAATTGTGGTACTGTTGATATTTGGCTCTGTTGACTAATGAGTTTGCCAACCACTGGTCTAGTAGGAAGGAAAAGCCTTCTGAAAGGGATAATTTTCTAAGTAAGCCTACTGTGTGACAGGTGCTTCTCAGGGGTTGGACCTAGCTAATTTAATTTTCACAACAGCTCACTGAGCCCATTTCACAGACATAGAAACTGAAGCCTGACACAGTTAACCAGAACTTGCTTGGGCTTCCACAATAAACCCAGGCTATATATGGCTCCAACTCCACAGTCCTTGCTATTTGCACTAGTCCAAAGTGTTCCAAGTTCTTGAGAGGTAAAGAATTTGAGATAGATGAGTCAATATATGAGTGCTGGAATAATTGGTGCTGCTTAGAGTCTCCTCCTCCCCCCAAATCAACTTAAATCCTTATTTCACAATATACGTCTAAATAACTTCCAGATGGATTAAAGGACACACATACACACAAATAAAACAAAAATATAAACAAAATATAAAATGTAGGAAAATAGGATAACCTGTCATATAATCTCTGGGTAAGAAAAAACTGTATATTCTTCAATAGCTTCCCTGTGGTGTGATTGTCAAATTGTTAAATTTTCCTGTACTTATTTTTATAAGCTTTCCTAATTTGTAAGCTGATATTAGTAATTATCATTTTCTGGCACTTAGAGTATAATAGTTGCATACATCATCTGGGCTCAATTCCTGCATTTTTTATACTACATATTATTTTTATTTCCATTTTACAGAATTTGCCCGGATCACACAACAAGGAAGTAGTGGAGTGATAATTTATATGCAAGTCTGACTTCAGGGCCTGACTTTATACTGCTTCTCAAACAAAAAATACAGAGTGGGGCAAAAGTAGGTTTATAGTACACAGAACATAGCTTATTCATGTAATATTTATTTATTATTGTATTATTTTCCATACAAACTGTAAACCTACTTTTGCTCCACCCTGCATTTGTAGCAAATATTAAAAATATTTATATTCCTAAATATATTAAAACTCATATAAAATAATGGAGAAACCAAGATGACGGCATAGGTAAACACCAGAGTTTGCTGCCTCGAACAACCACTTCAAAAATACAACTAAAAGACGGAGCGGACATCATCCAGAACCAAAGGAAGGCTGGCTGAGTGGAAATTCTATAACTAGAAGGAAAGAGAAAAGCATACCGAGACTCAGAGGAGGCACAGTACGGAAGGAAAATACTAAGGTGCGGAGGTGCATGTGGAGCGGGCTGGCGGCTGAGGGCGCGGTTGTTGTTTTCAATCAGGAGGGAGTCTCAGGCTCTGAGCTCCAGTTCCGGGCGAGTCTCTAGGGACCCAGACTCATACGGGAGAAGCGGGACTGTCTGGCATCAGTCAGAACTCGGGGCAGCTTTCTCTCCGAGGGGCTTGCAGCGATTACCGGGACACTGAGAAGCAGAGCCTCTGAGGGCTGGACTGAGAGCAGCCATAACTGCTAGCCTCGCCCTGTTGATCCCATGGGACCCGCCCCACCCAAGCCTTGCAGGGAGGCTTTTGCTGGATAGCCTCAGGGAAAGGCTAGATTAGCACCTCCCTAGAGATCCAGGAGCCAGGAAGCCCAGAGGTCAGAGTGGGACCATCCAGTTTGCAGCTCCGTGGAACCATAAAGGACACACTCAGGGGGCAGACTCAGTGAGCACCAAAGCCCCATTGAAGCAAGCCTTGCCCCAGAGGGGTGTCTCCAGCACAGAAGTTCTCCCACTGCAGACACAGCTGATTCTCACAGCCAGTTGGCCTGGAGGTCAATTCCTCCCAGTGATGACTACAACAATCAAGGCTTAACTACAACAAGACTGTGCACAAAGCCCACAAGGGGGTGCACCAAGAGTGTCCTCCTCAGGTAATTGGGGAGGCTGAACCACTGGGCCCTAGAGGACACTCAGCACAGAAAACCACTTTATCAACACAGGGAAGCATAAAAAATGCGGAGACAAAGAAAAAGGACACAAATGACAGAAATGGAGGAAAGCAAACTACTGGATATAGAGTTCAAAACCACCCACTTTTAAGGTTTTTCAAGAATTTTCTAGAAACTGCCGATAAACTTAATGAGATCTACAAGAAATCTAATGAGACCCTCGAGGTTGTGATA